ATATAATGTACAAAATTATTTATAATCATGGGGCTTATCTAAGGTCACATAGGTACAGAACAATTACACGGCTTATCTAAGTTCATCTAGGTAGAACAAGCGAACCCGGGCCTGGAGCCCAGGCCTGTCTGAATGCATGTGCTATGCGATTTCTGTTACCATTCAGCTGCCTCCTATTAAGCCAAAATTCTAGAACAAGTTATTTAAACAGACAGCCAGAAAATACTTGGAAAAGAAGGTGATAACCCTAGATGCCAACATAAAGAACTAGTCATGGCACACTAAACCCATTACTCTCTCTGAAAGGTTCCTGGTTGGTAGACCTAGGCACAGCTGCAGGCATTCCATGTCTCTCAGATTCCTCGTTGTGATTGATTCATGACATTTCCATCACTGGTTTGAACAAAATGGAATTATTTGGCCAGGATGGGAACACAGGTGTATCCTCGTATGGTGAGTGAAGGAGCTGAAGTGTGTTATCAATGGACAGATGTACAACTAGGGAGTAGTGACATGCCACATTGCTCTCCTTGGCCTGGTCCTGTTCACATATTTGTTCACTCACGCGCTGAGACACACAAGCATTTATTGAATGGTAATGATATCAAAGGTCCTAAGTCAGGGGCAGGGAATTCACAGTGGACACCAAAACATACCATGCATATTTGTCTTCAGAAGGACTTCTTGCACCAGCTTCTAGGAGAGCTACTGACAGCTTCAGCTGTCAGCACTTCAAGATCTGCCTCAGCTGCAGAGAGCTGCATCACTCAAGGTCACTCACCCCCCTTCTTAGCCTGTCCACATCAGAGCACAGACTGATAGAACAGTGTAAAGGTTTCCATCTCAGCCAAACTCAGGACAGCTCTGAAGGACCATTCTAGCCCTAGATTTCCCCACAGCTTAGGGATCAGCTTTTGGGCATGCAAACAGCTTAACTTCTCCCTCTGCCAACCCTACCCCACCAGTGCCGAGTCCAATATCACTCTTTAATAAACATCCTTGTACTAAATTTGGAGTTGGGAATCAGCCGGCTTCACAGAAAACCTGTTGGAAATAGGAGGGGCTTTGCCCTTTCTTCATTCTCTAAACAGCACAACTATGACCAACGACAAAATTTACACAGAGACAGCATTTGTGTTTAATACTTTTCTTTCAACAATGGAACAATCTGCCTCAAAAAGCAGTTAGGTTTGTAAGATTACCATTGGAAGGGTCTGTATCAACCAAACAAATTGGCATTTTAATGAAATTTGTTTCTGTCATTCTGCTCTGGGCTGGCATGCAGCATAGCATCACTGTTATTTAGAAGTTTTTAAAAGGAAACTTTTAGATGCAATAGGTTCTGGTAATAATTTGAAGGTAAACAGGAAAAAGAAATCAAATTTCCTAATGAACTCCCCAAAGTAATCTAAGATTATTTAAAACAGTGGCAAAAACTGTCAGTGCCTACTGATATCCAGTCACTCCTTTATCTTTTAGTAACAGAACTCTGATTTTAGGTGGTTAAATGTCTATCTAGCCCCAAACTACATTTCCCAGACTTCCTTTCAGCTAATAAGGCCATGTGACTAAATTATGGGCAGGGGAATCTGAGGGGCAGCAATGTGTGTACTTCTGAGTTAAACTCTTAAAGGAAACCATTGCCTTTTATTTTCTCTTTTCTCCATCCCAAGGCTGGAACATGGTGATGACTGGTGGTGATAAGGAAGTCACACCCTTGGAAAAGTGGAGCAATAATATAGAAAGTTCTGGGCTCTATGACCCCTGGAGTAGGATTCTATTACCCAGCTGGACTGCCTACCATCTTTGACTTTTATATGCAGGAGAAGTAAAACACTTATTTGTCTAAGTTATTAGTATTTTGGTCTCTATTAAAACAGCTCTACCAATATTCTAACATGCACAGATGCCAAATCAACAACTAAAACCTGGGTGCTGTTGACTCTTTGCTGTCAGCAGGGCATCTTATCAGGAGACTACAACATGATAAGGTTAGAAATTAACACCCTTTTTTCTGTAAGTTAACCTCTGCATCATCTCCTCTTCATTTTTTGGTGCTCTGCCTTCTCCTGGCCGATATTATGTCCTATTTCTACATAAAAATCAAGGGCCAAGGCAAGATCTGGATTGAAATTTTATGTTTATGTGCCTATGAAGTAGGATTTTTTGAAAGCTATTAAAGCCCTGATTTTTATGTTGCTGAAGTTTTGTTTTGGGGATGAGTAATTCTCAGATAGGTTTATATTATATATACATGTAAATAAATATGATACATTCATTCATCTGTCCAATCATTCATTTCATTCATCTATTGAGTAATTTGACCATTTAGTGTATATAAGGAAACTATTAAAATAAAATAAAAACCATTTTATAGTAAGAAATATTAAATGTGTTACAGTTCATTGATATGTATTCACAGATGGATAAAAAGAATAAGTGAAGCACAGCTTTATCTTAAAATCCTTCAAAAGAAATAGAAATCAGAAATGGCTTATGTTAAGCCATTGTGTGAGTAGCTTATGGTTTGGAATTTCCTCTATTTCTGATAGTGCTTGTTGCTTTTGTAGCATAAGAACTAGAGCCTAAATAAAATATTTTGATAAATCATTAACTTGTGTAGGCTCTATTTCTCTTTTTGTACCTGAATTAAGTCCAGCAATATGAATGTCTGATGGTTTGGCTGGAGACATCTAAAGTTGTACAAAGCATGTACCATTTTTATCATGGCACTAACTGGATATCATAAGGCTTTCTCTAACTATCTGGTCTTGGAGATAACGTACTGCATATGTCACTTGTGAAATATAGGTACACATAGGTTATCTAGAAGAGGGCAAGGATTCTAAAGCCCAAAATATTTTTCCAGTTAGTCTCATGCCTGCCCTTTCCTAGAGTAACAGTAACAGCTCACTTTCCTATACTAACTATAAAAAATCACAAATACTAGGGAGTCATGGCGATGGCAGAAGCAGGTCCTCATATCAGAAGGAACTAGCTGGGGTGCAGGGGGAGTGGGGTAGGGGGTGTGAGGGTCCCTGGTCCTCACATCAGAAGGAACTAACTGGGGTGCAGGGGGAGTGGGGTGGGGATGTAAGGGTCCCTGATCCTCACATCGAAGGAAGGAACTAGCTGGGGTGTAGGGGGAGTGGGGTGAGGGTGTGAGGGTCCCTGGTCCTCACATCAGAAGGAAGGAACTAGCTGGGGTGCAGGGGGAGTGGGGTGGGGGTGTGAGGGTCCCTGGGTTTGCAGTGCTGCTGTTGTGGTAACTTTCTCTGGTGTCTCCGTCCAGTCTTTACACTGCTTTCCTTAACATCTTTCATCAGAGTCTTAACCGTATGATGTTAACACAGGTGTTGGGAAGAGCTCAGAGTAAATAGCCACTCTTCTTGCTGCATCCTCAGCAATATCTGGCTGGAGAAACATCTACCAGAGGATTTGGGCACAAACATTGTCTTTGATAGAGAGGATTTCTTCTTCCCTAGATCTAACCAACTTTAGCAAAATATACATGCTGTGTGTCTGGGACAGTACTAGTAAGTTTTCTATCATGTAAATTTGTTTATTTAATTCCGTGGTTTTCTCACACTCACCCCAAGGTAGCTTCCGAATGCCCACTGCATTTATTACACCTGACAGAGAAGTGGATGGAAACTACTTCCAGGCAATTAATTGAAAAAAAAAAAAAGATTCACTAAGTGAAAAATGATTTGAAAGTTGTCAACAGAAAAGAGGAAGTGTATGCATTTTAAAATGCTCCTATGACTAGAAATCACAGACTAATAGGTGAGTTTAAAATCTGTACCTTCCATTGAAGCAGGGAAAGAAAATTAATATATTCCATGCCTCCCTTTTCAGGAAGACACCTTAGGATAGCAAATCAGTATATGGTTAAAAATTACCTGAGACATCCATTGCTATGGTTGACTACTATTAGCAGTAATTTTATTTGTCACTAGCAGCAGAGATAAAGCCTATTATAAGCACTGAGCACTAAGGAAGGTGTCATTATAGGTTTTAGTCATCCCAGGCAGGCAAAGGTTTATTCTCAAGAGTAGGTGATTACAACTCCTTTAGAAAGGTTAGTTGAGATATTTCCAGAAGCATCTTAAAAATGGCTCAGCCTTTTTAACTACTTCATTCAGGAGGACTGCTGTGGGGAGATCACATCCCTGAAGAATATGCCAAGAACATATTAGCTGCCAGTTTGAGAGCCTTCATCTGCTCTTCACAGCTATTTTTAGAAAACAATTGCAGCATTTATCAAACACCACAGAGAAAAATACAGTAAATGTTGGAACTCAGAATTCAGCAACTAAAGAAATTTAGTAGATGAGTTGGAGAAAGGAAGAACAAATTGTAGAAAAATATTAATTTTAATAGTGTAAGTAAGGCATACCTGTATTTTAGGTGCCTAGAAGATTAGGATATTTAAGACAACTTGATAAAAAATAAAATAGAATGAAGTTTATGAGTTTTAATATCTTTTTTGACTGTGACCTATAATATTAGATTATTATTTCTTTTTGGAGCATAGCAATGAAAGTTTTTTTTTTTAAAAGAAAACCAATTTCCTTGGATTTCTTCCACTGAGGTTCTAGAGTTTCTATGTGTTATATCATAAAAAGGGACATTTAGGTATGTTTTAAAAAATCACTCCTAGTAAGTATGTAAACTTCATATTGTTTTCAATCACTTCAGAAGTAGGTCTGGATAATCTTTGTTATTTTTTTCCTTCTTTTTCAAATGCTTGCATGAAAGTACATCAGAAATAAGAGTAGTCCCATGTATTTTTATCATTTTGAAAAGCACAAGAACTGCAACATAAAATGAGCATAATGTCCTAAAGCTTGAATGAACTGTTAAAGGTTCACAGAGCACAAAAAATGACGACCATACGCAGCCTTCAGTTTTAGGAGTTTCTGATCTGCTTCACACACATGCGCAGAACATAGTTCTCTGTTCAACCTCATCAAAGCTTGACATACGAAACCACTCACCACTGGCGACGGAGAGAGCGCAATGTTGCCTATTGATGCCTTCAGTTCGTCTACAGTTGCAGCATTCTTGAGGATGTCTTTAGACTGCAATGGCTTAATCTTGATATTAAATTTCTTATGGGATTCCTCTTCCTCTTCCGATTCACTTGAAGAATAAAAGTGCTTTCCTTTGGTAGGTAGAACACAGTCAAAGATACGTAACACTTTTTTTCTAGTGGGAGGCAATGATGTGTATAAGATGAGAGTGCTTGCAGAGAGAAACAGCAAAACTATCTTTAGATGCAGAAAATCAAAGCAAAACAAATGAAAGAGTAAATCAGGAAAGTCTGGGAAGTTTTCACCTTTCCTTGGAACTTGATTAAGGATAGTGAATTTCAAGTTAATAATGTCCCATACTTTTGCTGCATTTGGCCCTCTGTTGGGTCACACAGTACACACCCTGCAGGCGCACGTGAGCTTACTTGTCTACCAAGAGAGCAACGCCACTATGATGTGTGAAGAGTTTTCGGTGCTTCAGGGTGTGACATGCTCTGCCCACAGATGATTTGTTGGGAGGCACAAGAACGAACTGTTTTCAGTCACGATAAATGACATTATCATATCAGGTTTTAGCAGACAGCCCAGTGGCCACAGTTTGCACAATTGTTTTTCAGCACATTTTTCTCTTTCTCCTCTCTCTCTTTTCTATGAATAGATTGAGGCAAAATGCCTGCTTGTTAGCAATCAGGGTGTTCTCTGTACTGTTTATTCAACTCTAATATCAGGGACAACAGGCCTTGGGGAGCTTGAGTTATTCCAGCACCTTTTCAAAACCTAAATTTACCATACTGTTTTCTGAGAGAAAATAAAAATTGAAATAAAATGTTAAAAAAGGATATAGCCAGGTTCCTCAGGTCTGATGCTGTAGCCTTCTTCATCCAGCTCAGGTGAGTTCTATAAAATACAAGTGCAGATTAGGCATTTATTATCCTTACCATGATCAGGACGTTTTAGAGCCCCCCACTTATATACATGCCTCTTGTTTTAAGACCTTAGGATTTTAACTTTGGAAGTGAGAGCTGAGCAGCGTATGTTTAGATATTTACTCAGAGATACTTGGAAAGTCTTCCTACTGGGAAGATAAACTAGGAATCAACCGTCAATTAAAAAAAACATTAAAAAAGAATTTGTCATGCATTTCCTGTAAGCCGAGGACAGTGCTAAGCAACATGGAGAGGGATAAAAAGTGCAAATTATCTGTCTTCTGGAAAATTGAAATGTCTTTTGGTGTGCAAAAAATTTTTAAAAAAGCAAAATATAAAGCAAACATCAGTGATAGGAGTTGAGGGAGGAGGAGGAGGAGGTTAGTGAGGTGTGAAGGAAGCAGGGTGGCCTGCATGTGCCTTTCAGGACACATGAAGCAGACAGGGGAGTCGGCGGGAAAGTCTGAGGCAGAGGTGGGTTATATGTTCGATGGGGAAAGGGAGAGGAAACAACAAAGACAATGTGACTGGAGAAGAACTGTGCAGTGGGAGATGGTGGGAAGTAAGACCAGGGGTGGCCCACATGCTGGGGAACAAGTTTGGACCTGATCTAGCCACTACAGCTTCTCACTTAAGGTAGGGCATGATGAAAGCTAAATCTTAAGGTTTTGTGAAGTACTGCCTCAGGATAGGTCGGGGTGAAGGGAAGAAGGCTAATTCAAATACAAGCATCAATTCATGTAAGATGTGCTAAGAACATGGACCGAGTTGTAGGTAAGGGGGAGGATGAATCAAGGACATTTGGAAGGACAAAATTTTAGTTATTGGTTGCTGACCTGTCATAGGAGAAAAAGGAGAGGAAAGGTCCAACAAGACTCCAAGATTTCTACCCTCAAATCCTGGGAGACTGCTGGTACTCTTGGCTGGACTAACTGTAATAGTAGACAACTAACATTTGTAGGAAAAAGGAAAGATAAAAGAGTGTTTTCCTGATTGGGATTTGTATTATCATGTTTGTATTCCTATGAAATGGTGAGTACTGTGACCCACACTTTATTTCATTAAAACTTCATAATAGTCTTCTGTGGAAAGAACTATCCCATTCCCAAGGAGGAAATGAGGGGAAATCAGATGCTATTTTTCAAGGAAACAAACTCAGGAAATGGCAACCTGGGCTTTGACCTCAGGTATTTGAGACTATATACTATGCCCTAGAGGGGAAGAAGGTGAAGACCTCAAGGGTGGCCTTCCTGAAGTTGAGGTTATAGGCCTGGAAGTGAGTGAGGACAGAGCTGGAAAGATAGATTTTGGAGTCAGTGAGGCAATACAAGCACCTCTATGGAGAAAGAAGAGGGCCTGACTGTCTTGGAGGAGTCATCATTTATTGTCTCCTTCATGTGCTTCTTTAGTACTCAAAGTTACTTTTTAAAATGTAAGTGTTTTGAGGTTACTTTCTTACTAAAAATCATCCCTGGCTTCTCTCTGCACCAAGAATAAGAGCCCAGCACCTCTGTGTAGCTCACAAGGGCCTGTGTGGTCTGGCTCTTGGCCTTCTCTCTAGGCTTAGGCCTGAGATTCTCTTCCCTCATCACCCTCAGCTACAAGGCCTTCTTCTGACTGTTAACTGTTATGATTTGAATGTGCAAGCTCTTTCTAATTTCTGGGTCTTCATAAATGCCATTTTCTTGGCCTGGATTTCTCTTCCCTCAAATGTTCAGCCACTTAACACCTACTTGTACTTCACGGCTTTGGATAAAGGTCACATCCTCCTTGGGGCCTTCCCTGCTGTTACCCCTTCCCTGCCAAAAGCACAATGATACAGTTTATTAAGAATAAAACCTTTCATATTACTTAGAGAAAGTAGTAATGTATAATTACATTAAAAATTCCCAGGTGAACTGATGAGTTGTTAGGACTAAACAAATTTGGGGGAAGTTATTTATGCTTCATTTAAACACTCACAGGTTGACAAGTGACAGCACTAGATTTAAGGGTTATGCTGGGGTAGTACGTAGTGCTTGATGAGTAATTTGGTGTTTTAATTATTGTACTTCTTGTTTGCTTAGAGTATCCCATTTTTATGATTAAAGAAACCTACAAAACATAACAAAAGTCATTCTGGGTAAAAAACAAACAATTTTGGGAAAAGATATCACCTTTTGTTAATATCTAGTAGCTTCCCTTATAACATTATTTGTGAACAATTAGGATGCAAGGTAACACAGGGGCTGTCATAAATTTTAGGAAATTGACCTGCTAAAATTATCAAAAAGATCTCAATCCTGGGCAACAGATATAAGAAGCCCAGGTAATGAGGTTGGCAGAATGACATGTTTTAGAGTGCAGGGGTGGGAAGCATGAAGAATTTAACCTCTCTGCCCTTCAGTTTTCTCTAAAATGCCAATAATCTAGTATTTGCTTTTTTTAAAGTGGTAAGGATTCAATAGCATTTAATATATTAACTGACCTATAGTGAATATTCAACAAATGGTAGTCTTATTTATTACAAAAATAAAATTTTTATTATTAATAAATATACAAAAGCTTTTAACATGCAACTGATGTTTATGAAAGAGGAAATTGGGTCAAGACAGTCCTCTAAAGGACATGTGCAAAAGCATTTTGGCGGGATTGTATATTTGGGCACTTACTATGTACCTGAAATGATCCATGATGTGAATATGGTCTACATGTTTTAAAGGACTAGAAATCCAAGGGTGACTGTGGCTGTCCTGTTGTGGTTGCTGAAGTGTGTGTTGATGATGTCAATCAGTACCTGGGGGGATTATGAAGAGAGTTGAGGTCTCAGCTGGGATTCACCCTCATCCTTGAAAAGCAACAGGGGATTGTCACTTGAACTGAAAGAATCTGACCATGAGGCTATGATAATTTGATGTGCTATGGTCTGAATGTGTTTCCCCCAAATTCATATGTTAAAATCTTAACCCCAAGGAGATGGTAGTGGGAGGTGAGGCTGTTGGGTGGTGTTTGGGTCATAAGGGGAGGTCCTCATAATTGGGATTAGTGTTTTTCAAAAAGAGATGCCAGGGAGGTTACAGCTAGAAGTTGCCTTTTGAAAGCTGGAAAGTGAGTCCTCAATCAGACACACAACAGACCCCAAATCTGTTGGGCCATGATCTTGGCCTTCGCAGTCTGCAGAACGATTAGACATAAATGTTTATTGTTTATAAACCACTCAGTTTATGGAATTTTTGTTATAGGAGTCCAAACAGACTAAGACATATGACACTAAGGCCCAGAGGTTAATTAACTTGTCTCAGTGCTCAAAGCTGCTTAAAAATGGAACAAGGACTGAATCATTTATAGTTAATAGTTTAAAAAGCAATTTTTGAACACATTATAGGCTAGTATACTGAAATATCTGCAAATCATTAGCTCATTGAATTCTTGCAACAGTGCTGCGAAGTAACTACTGACTTCATTTCTGATGACCAGCAAGTAACTGCCCTAAAGCCACAACACCCCAAAGCTGACCTGTGCAGGGGTTAGTTAGTTCCTGAGCCCATGTCTAGTAGACTTCAGTGGTCTTAACCTCTATATCTCCCTAATCATGCCAGGCGCGACTGAGATGAGATGGAGAGTGTTTCACTTATTTCTATGTCCTATTATAAGTATAAGAATGCCTCAATTCATTTTCAAGTTGTAACATTGTTAATAAAGAAAAGCAATTTTCTAATACTCACATATCTTTCCCAATCAATTTCTGCATAAAATCCATTTGGTGCTCCATTGCTTTTCTTCTGTAATAAATTTGAAAATAAGTTTAGAAGAGAAACATTCGAAAGAAAAAAAAAGGAACAAAGAACATTTAACTCTTATCTGTATTTAGCAAGAGCTGTCAAAATCTAGCACAGGAAAGACAAACTAGAGCAGCCTATTAAGCAACCACAGTGGTGTAACTGCAGGTAAAATGGGTTGCTGTGACACTGCATGAAAGAGCTTACATACTTATTTCACAAAAGACTGTAGGATACCTAAGCACAGGATATTAACAACTAGCTGTTCAAATTTTATTCAGTTACTGAAGAATTAGAAGTACTGACATTATAATTTAATCCTCTTTACCTTCAGGAGGTATAACCAGAAATATACATATTTAAATGGAAACATTTTGATTTCCATGTTGTTCTCATATACTATTAGTTCCCACATATCTAAAGAGTATTCATCCAAGTCATTAACTAATCTTCTTTTAGCTTTTCTAACACTGACTCCACGTTTTGCCACCACCCCCTTGATAGAATATAAAGAAAACCAGCTCCAAATTAGTTGATTCAGCTCCTAGGTACTAAAAATACTGTTGATAACCTTTTCAAGTGGCTTTTCTTATCAAATATAATTCAAGGATTAATCATGGATTTCTGTCATTCACACGGCCTATGCCTTCATGACACATGTCATTGCAAGATGACTGGATAATAACATTACTTTTTCTGGGTTATTTTAAAGTTCTATTTTGGCCCCTAGTAAAGCCATGATATATGGCCACATGCACTTGAGCAAAGATGTGGCATCATCCAAATACAATTTGCTAAGATTCCTTACTTTTTGTGAGAAAAGGACAAAAACACAAATTAGGTTGGAAATGGAGAGTCCATTCAACAACATTCCTGCATTTAGCACAGAAAGCAACGGTATGTCACTGAGCACTTGCAGATCTCAGAACAGCACATATCAAATGGTGAAGCATGAGGCTTGAGGACAGGACCTCTAATTTTATAATCACAAAGGCCACTAGACTACAATGGGAACAGCTAACACTTAATTTGACAAATAGGGGAAGTAAGCTTTTCCTGTATTCATATCACTGTAAAACCAAATTAGAGGAAAACCAGTAACCATCATCATTGATTAATACTCACTGAATGTTGACTGGGCATTCTAAGAACTAGTAGTTTAGGTAGGGTGAATAGTGTATTGGGAACAGATAATGGGTTTATGTCCTTTCTCTACCTATGCATGAGAATTCACAAAAACAAGAACTCTGCCATGCCTCCACAAATCAGCACCCAGCTACACAGGCCCCATACTCTTCTTCCTTTTTGTCTGCTCCTGAGAAAGATTATATACTTTGTCAGACTTTATCATTTTAATCTTCTCACAGAATTACCTTCATTGAATTAGGACTTCACTGCTAATCTCTACCTTGAACAAAGGTCACTTAAAAAACCTGCCACATCAGCTCTGCACCTTTTTAAGCTATGAAGTTAAGGATGTGGTCCATTAAATAATGTGCTATCTAACAATAATTTCTCCCACAGGAAATGGGCATGTTTCCTATTTTCTTTTTTGTCATATTTGCTTTCTTTTTAAATTCCTACTTTACTAATCTGCTGGCATATGTCTTCTTTGCAATATTCTCCAAGTCCTTCTTAGAAAGCATATAGAATAATTCAATATACAAATGTAGTTTATAATAATGGTAAATCAAATCAATTAAGTTGATTCCAAAGAACTAAATTCATGAATTTTGTAATCAGTATACTGCTACTACTAATACATTTTTTAGTTCTTAGATAATTCTTTAATACAAACAATTGTTATCTAAAACCAAAGACATTAGGTACATTACTGAGATCAAAATTTTCAAAGTTGTAGTTTGTTTTCATGATTACTTAACTTCCATAACCCTTATAACAACCAAGATAGTTTATGCGTTTAGCTGAACAACGTGTGTGTGTGTTTTCTGACAACATATATCTAATATTATAGATAAAAATTCCTCAATTTGCTAGACCTGGGCTGAATAAAAACTTCCCAGTTTCCAAAGAAATCAATGGGAGATTGAGGTGAAGAGAAAGCAAAGCCTATAAAAATTAATTTTCTTTTAAACTAGGAACTTTTAAACATAGTACTAAACACAAACAACAAATCATAACAGTACATTCTTGTGGGAAGATATTCAACACACATACATATATGCACACATATGGCTTTATTGGAGGAATTAGCAATATGGCCTCATTCATGCTAGTGAATTATTACAAATACATGTAGTTTCACAAGTGGAAATTACCAAGCTAAAGTTAGGACAGAGCCTGGCTGAAATTTTTCTGATCAAACCCCAGGAAAGAAAACAATTCTGGTTTAATCCACTTAAGCAAGGTGCAAATCGCAGTGGTAATAGTGAAGGCAATGGCTCTATTGATTTTCAGTTGGAAAACACTGAAGAAGTAAGGATGTCTCTAAGTGGGGAAATACCATTTAAAATAGTAAAAGCAATATCTGGCTATTCATCAACATTTAAACAATGATTTTTCTCTTAGAGTTATGTATTTTCTTACATTTTGCTTTGCTAAAATTCTACAGTTAGCTTAAGTGACTTTTATAACTCGAATATATGACAGTTACTTAAAGATGATTGAGGGTAATAGCAATGATAATCATGTTTTAATAGGTTTTTTACTTTGCTCAGGCTTGTTGTCTGCTCTCAGATAATATGATTAGCTAAATCAATAAATGATGTAATGATAGTGTTCAATTATGTATTTATCAAAGTTCTTAATTTCCACCATGAATGCTCTTCTTTTCCAAGGTCAGCTCATGTCTACCTAGTGTTACTTGGGCGACAAATGTTAAAGACACCTGATGTACTGCCTAAATATCTTTTCGCCATTGAGGAAGACTTGACTCACTCCATAAATAATCCTATAGAACAACACTCTTGAAATTTTCTATATGTGTGCTGTCTAATCTGGTAGCCACTAGCCACAAGTAGCTATGGAATACTTGAAATGGGGCAAGGGCGACTGAAGAACTGAATTTTCAATAGCCACTTTTGGCTGCCATGTTGGATTACACAGCTATAGTTGTTGCATAGTCTGAGCCAGGATCAGCATCTCTGACTTGGCATCTTTTGGTCAAGTATGTTGGCTCCCCCAGGCCAAGGTCCTGCCAAATGCCCGATGTTATACTGAGACAACGCTTATCTTAACACATGACTACTCTATTTCTATAACGGTGTTTATATTACAGCCAAAGCTGCCTTATAGATAGCAGATTAAAAAAAAAAAGGAATCCCTGTCCTTTTTCTAAGACAAAGGAAACACATCTTTTATGCCTGATCACTCTTTAAAAGTATATTTAGACATCAATATTTAGAATCGATATGATTGACTTAAATAATGGTCCTGGGTATTCAAGAAGTAAAGTGGAAACATCTAAGAAAATCTTCCTAAATGGAGTAAATAAATACTACTATTTTTTCCAAATTTCAAATTGGGATTTTTACTCACTGTTTCTACAACCCCTTGGGAAATTTTAAACTAAAATCTGTTTCCTTACCGAAACTTTTTTTCCTCCTTCACGCGCACACTCTGCTTTGTTATTGTAGGGTGGTTCATGTGGGCTGGGCTGCTGGAATTGATTGTTTTCATGTAGAAAAAAGTTGTTAAAGGATCTGTTTGTTCTTCAAGACACATATAAAGAATCACATGGAATCAGCAAACATACCATAGAAGAAACAATTGCTATGCCAAATTGTAGGGCCTACCGATCTTGGCAGGGTTCCTTAAGCAAAGAGTGGACTTTGGGGCCCATAACGAGGCTCTATTCAGCAGGCCAATGTGGCTAGGCCGGGAGAATAAGGGAAGAGGAGGAAGACACATCCCAGGCACTAGAGATTATGTGCACTTGTTTTCATTCGACTAGCACTTAATTTACAGGTAGAGAACAGACACCAGGACATACCAAAGAGACTGAATCAAAACAATTATATTTCTAATGGAAGTGTGAAAAGTCTAGCCCCACCATATATCTCCCTGGATCCAAGCCTTCCTGAGAATCATCAATACATAGAGCACAAACAGTTCCAAATCCAGGCCCTTTCCTGCACATGTGCTCAGGATGAGCAGAGATCTCACAGCAACAGCTGTGACCCCAAATGCCCCTAGTCTATGTGTGGATGGAAATTCAAACTGCTTAGGAAAAAGTTAGAATGTATCCTGCACAAATTAGAGTTTGTCTCTGGGTTAGGATGCATCGTCCCACACAGCTGCCTGAAGTCTTAGCCATCATGACAGACAGTTCTGTCAGGGGCGGGTACATTCAGCCAGTGAGGAGCAGGGCGGCCCACCTTCATACATCAGCCCCAGTACGAAGCCTCTGTAGACTAAATCTCGAAAGCATTGTCATCAGAGATGGGCTTCACTGGTTTCTGAAAAACTGAAACTCAGTAAGGTTCAGCACATTAGGCCTGCTGTGTAGCCATTTATAAGCATTCATTGAGTGTTTTACCACCTGTAGTTTGCAGAACCACATTAGTGAAATCATAAATTTCAACTTCAGATATTCAAAAGGCAGTACTTTGGAAGCTAAATCAGCTACAGTAAAAGCGGACTGGGTCCACAGATACATGGTCTTAAATCAGTCTGAGATTGGAAGAAAATCAGATTGATATCACCAAGGACTGAATGCAAACAGGCACTTGGACCCTTACAGTGCTGATCCGACGGGGAATTCTCAAAATCTGTTGACCACAGTCAGTGGAGAAAACTTGGGGAACATTTCCAAATGGATAAGCTAGCAGCTGGCTCATAATTTCCAATTTACTTATGAAGCTGTACACCTAGGCATCTATTTTAAATGCAGCTTTTTCAAACAGGTCTGTGCCATTTCCTGATAAATCAAAATTAAATAACTCCTCTTTCCCTAAAATCATGACCAGTAATATTTATGGCATTTCCAATTAAGGAACCAAGAAAGCACAACTGCTAATAGGTAATTTTGTGTGACTTGGAATGGTGGCAGCGAAAGAGGACTTGGGGAACTTGGGGATGAAATGCTGCCTTAGGGTAGGGAGCCCACAGAATCACAGCTGGGCTCATTCACGCACAACGTAATCAGAGCTGCCTGCTCTGTGCCAGAGCTGTACCAGGTGCATGGTGCATAGTCTACCAGACATTTGACCTAGTGGTCCCTGGAAGAGCAGAGCACATTGAGGTAGCAATGAGGCCTCAGAGACAATGAGCTGGGGTGGGGAGGAGCCTTAGAGAGAGACAAAAAGACAAGACAGAGGGTGGCAGAAGGAGAGAAGCAAAAAATAGCAATCCAGCCTGTGGGCACAAGGGATAGGACAGAGCATAGCTGTCAGAGCCTTGCAGAGGTCAGAATGGAGAGGACGAGAACCCAGGGAGGGGACTGCGACAGAAGCAAAGAGAAGACACAGAAGAGCAGAGAGTACCTGAGACAGAGTTAACGAGAGGGCTCTGAGCCAGAAGCAAGAGGTGAGGAGAAGCTGAGTCTTCTGGGTCTTTTTTTTCCCCTGCTGAATAGAGCCTTGATTACAGTGTTACCCAATGTCTGAGAAATTTCAGTCTATTTTCTTAACATTTCATGGTGAGAACTACATGAATGCAAAGGGACCCCAAAGCTAAGAACCTTGAGTCAAGGGTGAGAGAAAAACTCCCTCCAATGGCTGCAATTAGCACCCTAGTTTAGGCATAATACCATAAAGGGTGATTTTTCAAAAAAATATTTTTAACCACCAGGTTTATTTTAGTTCCCACTCCAGCCCAATGAGGCTAACAGTGTCCATTTTTTTTCAATAACAGCTGTTCTTTTGAACCTTCTGAATAGGCATCCGATTTAGATTTGAAGGAAGTCATTTTAAATGGTGGTGCAGGCTCCCACAAGCTCAACTCAGATAAATCCAAGCACATGCACCACAGACTTCTTTACAGAGCAAGAAATTTGGTGGCCAGCAAAGAGTCGGAGTTACTGTTAAATCTAAACCCTGCAGACACACTTTTCTCCTTCAGGCTGTAAATTCAGGCATAAGTGGTTTCCAGATCATTCCCTATTCATGAATTTAATACAGAAAATGTATCTGTAGCTCAACTATGGAAAGGGAAAACACTTCTTTCAATTTGATTAGATCTCAGCTCCATTATGACTTTGTGGTCTCTGTTGGAAAAGAACTTTCTCATGTAATGAGCTATTATATCACTAAATTGGAAATGAAATAAAAGTTGATGGTAACAGCCCCTACAGGAACTGTCTGGCTTTTGACCCACCAAATTGATGAGGTTTGCTTGCCTACTCTGGGGCAGGGTTTTAGGTGAATACAATAAAAAAGTTTAACTTGACCAAGAGTACATTTATGTCCCATGCAATTACTATGGAAAATCACAACAGTATAAGGTCTGAAAGTCATTTTAGCTATTTCTTTTCCCTACAGAAAAAAAAAATGGGATACTTCAAGAAATTTAAACATAGCTTATACTGAAGTGCAAACCTACTAAAAATGGTTATTTAAATACTTACAATTCCATCTCTATCTGGTGAACCCCTGTAACAAAAAGAAATTGGTAGCTATTAGGAAAATGAATCATTCTTGCTACACAGACTAATGAACTGTAATAAACTCATTAATCACCTCTCCCCCATCTCCTTTGTTCCCACCCCAGTAAACCTGGCTAATGAAAACTAAATCAAAACAAATTGATTGAGTGATACTTGAGTGTGGGATGTGTGCACGTCTGTGTGTGAGGGAGGGAGATTCTCATTTAAAACTGAAGTCCAAAGACACAAGTTGGTGGTGCACGTCTTGGTCCTCTTTTGAGAGGAGAGTTCATTTAAGAGTCTGTCCCACTCAGATGGCTCCACTTCCAATTACCATGAGGAATGTAAACTGATTTGTGCTCTCATCTTCTCTCCTGTTGAGTGGTCTTGAATTTCCCCTATAAGAAGGAACTTGTATGATATTCTTTAATTTAAAGAACCTATGTTTTCTTCCATATTTCTATATTTACTGCCTCTTTGATTATAGAAAAACAAGGAAAGGAGGGCAATGTTTGCTAAATGGCTCAATGTTTGCTGAAGTCCAGGGTAGTTAATCCATGGGACAATAGACTGCAGTGCTTATAAATAAAGGCTTTAGATTAGGATGAATCTGGGTGTCCAGACTCCACCACTTATGACTTCTGTGACCTTGAACATATTACTTAACCTCTCTAAGCCAGTTTAAATAAAATAACAGATATAAGGAACTCAGAATAGTTCCTGGCACATCATAAGTATTCAAAAATGCTTATTTGTTATATGTATTTTTTTTCTCTTTCATGATATCTCTTCACCAGAAACATAAAACTGTTCCCTTGCAGCCACATTAGACTTTAGAGTGCGGGAGGAAGGGTATTATTATGGTTTCTTTGGAATACTGAGCTGAAGGAGCCAGAGGAAGGGACAAGCAAGAGGGTGGTTACTGAAACTTTCTAACTTTCTATTTTAATTGACTCTTGGTAGGAGCTAGAAAAATGTTATCCTATTGATATGGAGACCAGAATTATGCTTAGATGGAGACCTGCACTGTTTGGAAGATCATGCTTGGGGTGGACTGTGAAGTCCTGAGGACTTTGGTGGGTCAGAAGTGTTCTTTAGGAGGTGGGACCAGGTAATGAAATTCTTTATTGGCTTGTCTGGTGGGCAAGGGAAAGAGAGAGAGAGACAGAGGAGAGAGAAGAGAGAGAGAAATGCAGAGAGCTAGTGGGACACCTGGGCTCCCGATGTGATTCCCTTTCCCCACAACACCCCCTTCAAAATTAGCAAAATGTTCTACTTGTGTTACCAAACCTGACAGGAGTGCCTCACTTTTCATAATGTATCCACATGGATGCAGGAGTGAATCAGTGATATAGGGGTCAGAAGCAGGGGGGACCCCAATATTGACAGACCATGGGAATCAACAGAAATATTAAGGTCTTTGGAAATTCCCTGGCTATGGCAATTAATTGTTTCAAAGAATTTTCATCTAAAATACAAGGATAGGAAGAGTCTTAACAGACAAAAGTTATAATTCATCGAACAAATATTGAGTGTTCAAAATGGGCCAGGCACTAGGCTAGGATCAGGGGATAAAAATAATGAAGAAGTACTCATCATAGACAGAATGAGAAAGGTAAGTGAATCCAGGGGCCACAATAAGCCCAGACTGGGGGGCCGCCCAGAGGAAAGGTACCCACCACACTCATCAGAACCAATTTTCCCTTTCAGACCTATACAGTGCAAAAGAAAAAACAAAAAGAGCACTTCTTACTCTGAATTTCAGGCTCTACTAAAGGAATTGAGAAAGAGGCGGCTATCACCTTTTGGGTAGGATATATCCAGAGACACTGATCTTCCTGGGGATGTCTTCAAGGGCAGCCACATAACAGATGTGGAGAAGACAAGGCCCTGGAGCTAGGCCTGGCTGTGACAATGCCCACTACTGGCCAGGTACGAGGGCATTTCTGTAGGGGATCTATGGGAGGCCACTTGTTCTCACGCCTATTGCAGCTATGGAGATAGCATTTCAAAAAATTAGCTACAAAAAACTGTAATTGTACATAGAAGCACTGGTGTCCTATTCTGGTCCTTTGTCTTATCTACTGATGGAAATGGGGCTGGTTCTTCCTAGGATGGTGGCAGTAAGCATGGAGGTGAAGTGCACTGGCCGTAGTGCCAGACTGCCTGGGTCCAATCAGTTTATTTTTTCTTAGCTGCACAACCTTGGGCAAGTCACTTCCTGCCTTTGTGTCTCAGTTTCCTCATCTACTAAATAGCCACATGGTGATCGCATATACCCCACAAGGCTATTAAGGGATTCAATGGGTTGATATTTGTGAAGAACCTGGAATAGTGCCTAGAACATAGCAAATACTCATTAAATTTACTATCTAGAATAAAATTATTAAATAACCTGACCTAGGATGGGGAGCAGACAGATTTTAGCAGTCTCAGATACTTGGGTATGTGTTTTCAATTCATTT